GGTGTGACGGGGAGTCGAACGTGCGACCCACAAATTGCGAGTCGAGCGCCCTAAACACCTGGCCATGCCATGCCTTTTATGAAAGAAGTCTCAATTAGTTTGTTTTTTGCTTCAGTTGCTCACAATGAAAATTTTAATGACAGTCTCTGGATGAGAGTAGCACTTTTTTGTCTCCCCATTGGAAAAGATAACTACAAGGACATTCATAGTATGTGAAGTTAGTTATCTTTTACACTTTTTTCAGTTGATCTCGTAAGGTAAAAACCTCTATCACGTTTCCTTGGAAATGACCAGTAACGTGGTTAGCGCTGGTTGCTCTGGTTAGTATTATGACCTTGTGAGTTATCTCATGGAATAATTTTCAGAGTCTTGAACCTGAGTACCATTTAAATAAACCAAAACTTTTCTTGATTTACTCAGAAGCGCCATCTAGGGGTGACAGAGGTAGTTGTCTCTCTGTGTGTCGTATCACTTGCTATTATGAAAAGGGTGGTTCAAAATCACCTTTCCTATTTTAAAATTGAATAATTAAATAACTAAAGAAATAGAACCATGCATTAGTGACTTTCAGCTCGTCTAACCGATCTTGAAAACTACGTGGTTTTATTTCTTTAGATATTTAATTATTCAATTTTAAAATAGGAAATATAATTTTGGAGCACCCTGTATATACCTATCTAGAATTTGTAGTTTGTGCCTGCAAGTCCCGTACTTCACTAGCGCAAGGGAAGGTTTACTCGTAGCCTAAGCCAGTGCTTCCAGAACTGTGTGTCGCGGAAGAGTCTCAGCTGTGCCGCTGAATTTTTGCTATTATTAAGTAATTTGTATATAGTAATGTAAATGTATACACAGTATAACAGTAATTCCTGCCTGTGTTAGTCAAGGGGGTGCCACTAGGCCTACCACACTGACTTATTTACATATGCTTCAAAAAGATTGCGATGTGAGAAGTATACCGCGAACTGAAAAAGTTTGGACAGCACTGGCCTAAGCGGCCTCTGACACCTGCTCAAAGCCTCCCCCCCCCATCAAAACTTAAAATGACACCGCTAGTTCCACTGTGCTAAATTTATAATTAAAATCATTCAGATTAATTGGAGGTAAATATTGTTGTTATAAAGAAAAGCAAAATGAGGATGACGAGAATAATGAATATGGTTAAAAGTCACTGGTCCTCTGTGTTTTAAAATCGAACGTCCTCCTCGTGAAAACATTTTATCGTCAAATGTAATAACCACTTCAAGTATTTTTATTTTTTAAACCTAATCTATTATAGAAATCATTCTAATTTCTTTTAGGGGCATTTAAGTTGAATTGATTTTTTTTTCTACATAGATTGAAACTCACGTTATCCCATAAATTTATTCTTTGATATCAAAAACAATCCTTAATAATATCTTCTTTACCATAAGTTTTTGTCAATCCAAACAAAAAGCCAGGTGGTTAGGGCGTTCGACTCGCAATATGCGGGTCGTAGGTTCGAATCCCCGTCCCACCAAATATGTTCGCCCTTTCAGCCGTGAGGGCGTTATGTAGTGACGGTCAATCCCACTTTTCGTT